GGGAAAATTAAAAAAAAAAAAAAAAAAAAAAAAAAAAAAAATCTAATATTACATGAATAATGAACAGTGACACATGGACCTTGCTATATGACAGTCGCAATGACTGTTGAAGTAACTTTTTATGAAACCTATACATGGTAGCTCGATACTATCATGAATTGCCGTAGAAATAACCCAATTTTGCATGACGAATTCACCTTCATTCAATTTAGAAAAATATACATTCAATTATTCACTCTTTACAAAATACCAAGTTAGTAAAATATTATAAAAATCATATGCTTGGACATATTCACTCTCTTCCCTTATATATATGGTTCTAAAGTCCCCCAAATTCCTCCTAACTTTTAAACATAAACATAACGGTGAAAGAACTTATATATATTTGTTCTGATGGCCAAAGGAATCAGTATTTTCGTGTGTATTTTTCTGCTTGTTGTGATGAGCAGCACAGTACAAGCTATTCCTTGCTGCAGTGGGAGAGTCGTGTCTTGCTGCTTTAAAAGCAGGAAAGGCACTCCCAATATTCTGCCTCGGAAAATAGTAAGCGACGAGCCTTCAATTCACAACTCCATTACTAACTTCTGGAATCGCCCTTGATTTATGAACTGCAAGTCGCAGTCTCTTAGTGGTTGAATAATCAAGAATCATGCTTGTCGAGTTTTCATGAGCTTATATTGTAGGTTTCTGTTCAACTTTGTGTATCGATTGTGCTCTAATAACATTTGTGAGAGGGAATTCTTAAGCCAGGTCCATTTCAACGTCTTAGCCGAGACATGGACATTGTATGGAGATTATGAATTAATTTCACATAAGTTTTAATGCAATTGCAAGAAAATCTTATAATCTTCGATTATTAAATTATCCGTCGAGTCTCAATTACTTGCCGTTAAAAATTCGAACATTTATTGAAAAGATGATGATTATCTATTCTCAAATTAAATAGGAAAAGAAAGGAATGAAAAAGAAAACAATTCAAAAAAACATAATTTTATCATTTTTTGTTTATTGACACTCAGTTTTATTTGTTTGACTTCATGATTGCAAAATAAAATTATTGAAATTAATAGAAACTTTACCTTGTTAAGACTATTAACTCATGTCCATGGGAGAAAGAGGAAGAATCAATGTAAAGTGGACAAATCAATTGGAACTCCTAAAGATGGAAATATTAGAACACACTTTAGAACAAAATCTCAAATTCATATGTTAGACATTGTGCATAGCTTACAAAGAGAGCATGAATTTATAACTACGTAATTCTTCAGAATTATGTACAAGGAGAAATACTCCCAATTTTTTTTTTTGGCTTTTGCAACTTCTCTTTCTCTCCCTGTTTTAACAAGGGAGGTAAAGTTAGATGTCCACTTCCTTTGTAATAATTCTTTTTATTAATAGTCAAGGTAAGGTTACGTCAATGCCAATTGCCAAACCCGTACCCATAAGCTATATAGTCATATAAAATCCTATATTTAGACACAAGTGGATTTTGAGAAAGTTCAAAAATAAAGAGGAAAAAAAATGCCCCAATTGTATTTTCAATATGTACATCTGCGGGGCATAGACGATTGACAATATAATAGCAGCGATTCGTACTCCCAGCTTCCACAACCTAGATGGTCGCATTGGAACAATATATTTTGGAACTAAAAGCATTATCGAGACTTGACTTTTGCCCCCATTAGTCAAGATTCAAACGTAGCATCTCACACATTTGCATGACATGCTTCTTATCTAGTTTCAATTTAATGTTTGGATAGATGTTCTCTCTTGTTTTTATTATTAATATTGTTGAATTGGATTTGAATAAATCATATACGGTCTCTATAAAAAAAAAAAAAAAAAAAAAAAAAAAAAAAAAAAAAGGTAAAAATTCAATAGTCACTAAATGATCGAAAAAAATTGTCATTTTTACCCAGCATAGCATATATCATAGTAGGTAATTCTAATAAAAGTGTAATTCAACCCACAAAGAAAATTAATAAAAATAACATAATTTCTTGAAAAAGAGATATAACCCTCTAAACCAATCCACTTGACGAATATCCTCCTGGCTCAAACTCTCTCTGTCTTGAAGCGATATTTTTTAAGTTTTAAGATTAAAAAAATTTTGAAAATACTTTAAATAATGATTGTCATAATCATATGTTGGTATTGTAGACGGCGATTATAACAAAAAATTGTATTCAAAATGATTAATTTGTCTGTATTACCTGGCTCCTTGATTTTGACATATATATTCTATTATTTTTAGCAAAGTTTTCACCTGGAGCCGGCCTCCTTCGGATCATTAATAGAAATGAATAATGTCGTTGTCAAAAAATAAAAAATCATTTTGTGTATTTCCTTTAATAAAAGTTGCCTCTTCTATTCTTTTTTTCTTTCTTCTTCCTTTTTTTTTTTTTTTTTTTTCTTTTTTTTTTTTTTTTTTTTTAAAATCAACTATGTTTGTAAAATTAAGGGCATTTTAATGAGTATTATAATTTCCTAGATATCATATTTTCAGGTGAAGAATATTGGCATCATTGCAAATTCGAATATTTTCATTTTATTTATTTATTTATTTATTATAGTTATCTAGGTTTTTGGACTTATGTATAAATTGATGATTAAGAGAAGATTGGATCCAATTATATAATCTTAATCTTATTGAATCACTAATTATTAAGAGGTCACATCTTAGGAATCAAAATAATAAAATAAAAATTTCTGGTTTCTAAAAATAAATAATGATATTATAGATAACCTTTTTTTATTTTTTATTTTGAAATAAGATAGAGAATTATAAGATATGAATAAACCATAATGATTAACGGGATGTGTAAATAAATTTATAAGTAAACTATTTAGTAAAAGTAATTCTATTACTATTAATATATACAAGTTTCAAGTTTGAGAGGACGAGAAGTTTGCAACTATAAATATTATGGTTCACTTAAGAGGAAGAAGCTGAAGCTTTTTTTAGTAACGCAACTATTTTGTGACATCCTCGTATACCTCATTCTCTTCCCTTTATTCTCTTTGTTTGTGACGTTCTTTCGATTTATTGAACTTTTTTTAATCTTCTTGTCATGTGACAAAAACGAGAGAGCACCAAGGGAAAAGAATGGTTGGAAGCACAAGAAGTTATTTAATATAATGATATATTGTTCATATAATAGCATGCTAAGGATGATGATTTCAAAATGGAGATAATCTCCAGCTACAAGGCTTTATTTTTCTCACTGAAGTTGAAATGTGATTCTTCATCACATTGTAATATGACTAATGGAAGTTATTATCAATTTACAACTTCGTTATGTACAAACATTGGCACCTCGTATCATAAGAAATGTTCGCAATTTGCTAGAATATCAAACATGATTCAACATCTCAAAACGCCACCCACTTGTTAAAAACCATTTGTGACCATCTAAGCAGAAACCATCCCTCAACTGTAAGTTATCACTGAAGCTTCGTCTGATATCGGTCTTCTTGAAGTCGGGGAACTTGTCTTTATCGGGGCCCAAATATCAGCGCCATTGCTACTGGCAACTCCATCAGTAAACGAAATTGGCACGAGACATAAGCCTTTGCTTTTAAGGTTAGGTGGCTTGACTTCCTTGAAATGATAACATGTTAACATTGCGGTTCAATTCATAATAGCAACAAGGACAAAAATATAGCATCAAGAGCAATAAAAGAAACAAATATAAGCAAAGCGCACACATTTTTATACAGTTTTACTTACACCATGAGAACTACGTCAACACTAGATAGTTCTGTCGACCTTACCCCGAAGGTCGATCTATGGTCAAGAACACAAGTTACAATGTGATTAGGCTCTACCCAATCAAACAAGATATTTTGCAACAAGATTGAAAAAATAAAAAACCCACAGAAAATTTTGATGCTAACCTGTGTATTAGTCGTCGGTGTGCTATACAAGTACGGTGCACTCAATACCTGAAAGGACCAAGAATCGGATTCAATTTATTATCCAAACATCCAAACAAGAATTGTATGGTTTACTTTGTCTTCGAAATGGTAGCAAACCAAGAAATTAAAGTGGCTACAGTGTTCATAGCAATCCAAAGATTTGAAATAACTTGAAGAACATCTGAATGAAATAAATCAAGAAAATGACACACCTTAACTTGCTCTTGAAGGAATCTTATGTATTCCATTGCCTCTAGAAGAACCGATGCTGTATCTGTCTGTAGTCGAATATAAAAAAAAAAAAAATTCAGCAATAGAAAGTTGAAATTATAAAAAAAAAAAAAAAAAAAAAAAAAATCAGCTATAGAAAGTTGAAATTAAATCAGAAACATGTAAACTAAGTTCTAATCAATTCATCGCAATAATAAAATTTAAAATTTCAATATGTACCTTTCCATACGGTGAGACAAGTTGTTGAAGAGCTGAAATTCGTTCGCTAACCTTCTCTTTCTTTTCCTGTTGCCAAGAAAAGTAGCACGTCAGAGACAATGTGGTAAAGACCCACAACATCTTATAAAAGCTATAAATCACTAAGATCAAAAATGACAAAGAAGAAAATGTGAGGGCCTATTAGTCCATAATTTAGGCATTGGAGTGATATTTATGAACTGGAATGCCTTTTCTTGAAGAAACTAAAAGATCAGAGAGAGGTAACTTCAACAATGCCATGGAAGTAATATGTGAACTCTACAAGTTACCGAACAACAGAAAAACTGATTGATAATGGCATATTTACCTTATAAATATAGAAGCAGAAAGTAGACATGTAAGCAGAAATTTGTTCACAGACAGAGAAATTTGAAGATACCTTGGCAGAGAGAGGCACCTCAATCTTCGGTCGTTTTTGCGTCAAACCCATGAGGCTGCTTTGATCAAGGAAGACGGGTCTCCTTTTATTCTCCATCATCATTTACTCTATTGTTTCGTGTCAATAAGCCCTTTAAATTGTTCATATAATAGCATGCTAAGGATGATGATTTCAAAATGGAGATAATCTCCAGCTACAAGGCTTTATTTTTCTCACTGAAGTTGAAATGTGATTCTTCATCACATTGGAATATGACTAATGGAAGTTATTATCAATTTACAACTTCGTTATGTACAAACATTGGCACCTCGTATCATAAGAAATGTTCGCAACTTGCTAGAATAGCGAACATGATTCAACATCTAAAAACTGCCACCCACTTGTTAAAACCCATTTGTGACCATCTAAGCTGAAACCATCCCTCAACTGTAAGTTATCACTGAAGCTTCGTCTGATATTGGTCTTCTTGAAGTCGGGGAACTCGTCTTTATCGGAGCCCAAATATCGGCGCCATTGCTACTGGCAACTCCATCAGTAAACGAAATTGGCACGAGACATAAGCCTTTGCTTTTAAGGTTAGGCGGCTCGACTTCCTTGAAATGATAACATGTTAACATTGCGGTTCAATTCATAATAGCAACAAGGACAAAAATATAGGCATCAAGAGCAATAAAAGAAACAAATATAAGCAAAGCGCACACATTTTTATATAGTTTCACTTACGCCGTGAGAACTAAATCAACACTAGATAGTTCTGTAGACCTTACCCCGAAGGTCGATCTATGGTCAAGAACACAAGTTACAATGTGATCAGGCTCTACCCAATCAAACAATATATTTTGCAACAAGATTGGAAAAATAAAAAACCCACAGAAAACTTTGATGCTCACCTGTGTACTAGTCGTTGGTGTACTATATAAGTACGGTGCACTCAATACCTGAAAGGACCAAGAATCGGGTTCAATTTATTATCCAAACATCCAAACAAGAATTGTATGGTTTACTTCGTCTTCGAAATGGTAGCAAACCAAGAAATTAAAGTGGCTCCAGTGTTCATAGCAATCCAAAGATTTGAAATAACTTGAAGAACATCTGAATGAAATAAATCAAGAAAATGACACACCTTAACTTGCTCTTGAAGGAATCTTATGTATTCCATTGCCTCTAGAAGAACCGATGCTGTATCTGTCTGTAGTCGAATATAAAAAAAAAAAAAATTCAGCAATAGAAAGTTGAAATTAAATCACAAACATGTAAACTAAGTTCTAATCAATTCATCGCAATAATAAAATTTAAAATTTCAATATGTACCTTTCCATAAGGTGAGACAAGTTGTTGAAGAGCTGAAATTCGTTCGCTAACCTTCTCTTTCTTTTCCTGTTGCCAAGAAAAGTAGCACGTCAAAGACAATGTGGTAAAGACCCACAACATCTTATAAAAGCTATAAATCACTAAGATCAAAAATGACAAAGAAGAAAATGTGAGGGCCTATTAGTCCATAATTTAGGCATTGGAGTGATATTTATGAACTGGAATGCCTTTTCTTGAAGAAACTAAAAGATCAGAGAGAGGTAACTTCAACAATGCCATGGAAGTAATATGTGAACTCTACAAGTTACCGAACAACAGAAAAACTGATTGATAATGGCATATTTACCTTATAAATATAGAAGCAGAAAGTAGACATGTAAGCAGAAATTTGTTCACAGACAGAGAAATTTGAAGATACCTTGGCAGAGAGAGGCACCTCAATCTTCGGTCGTTTTTGCGTCAAACCCATGAGTCTGCTTTGATCAAGGGAGACGGGTCTCCTTTTATTCTCCATCATCATTTACTCTATTGCTTCGTGTCAATAAGCCCTTTAACATAAAACTCTTTAATTCTCATACTTATTTTCAACCACACATTCATACAATAAAACATTTTGCACGTAAACCCAAAACTTTCTTCTTAATTTTTAACCACATTCTCCAAATTTTTAAAACATTACTTCTTCGAAATAATGACCATCAAACAGGGGCTAAATAATGGACAAATTAGTACAGAATCCAATAGACGAAAAACCTCATATAAAGGCAATCCATTTATTTGCACGCAATATTGATTTTTTACTTGGGTTCATAATTGAAGTAGCATGACCAATATTTTCATTGCCAAAATATGTCCGTTTATATTCGACAAAAATGGTTAAGCAAGAATTAAACTGTGAATAAATGTACTATCAGCTGATTATAGAGCACGTTTCACTCAGCTAAAAAGAAATGACTTAATTATATAAGTGCTATTGTGTTCCAAGAAACAGACTTCCATTAGAGGACAGAAGCTACCAGATGCCATTCACGAGACGCTCAAAAGCTATATGAATTAGTTGACAAATAGACATATTGAAATGATGAGGTAGAACTCCAATACAATACAATTTTGATCAAGCAACAATTTCCGGTGTATTTTACGACAAATTGCAATATAAAATAACTTCATAAACATATAAAAATACAAACTTAAATAAGATATCATTTTCAACATGTTTCATGTATTAAAATTCGCGCTGTTTTGGTCAAAATAATCCTTATGTTTGTGACGTCAGATAATTTATCATTCAGTCATTCAAAATTATTTTAAAAGTAATTGGTCGTAGATAACATTATTCAAGAAACTCAATTCCGAACCATCAATAATGGAATCTATACCAAATTTTTGATTGGAAACATACATAAATGGACATTAAGCCCCCTGTTTGATTCCCATTACTTGCAATTGAAAATGAAAATGTGGGGAATAGTATTTTTTAGAAAAATGAGTGGTAGGAAAAGAAGGAAAAATTTTCGATTTATGTGTAATATTATTTTATGGAAGATTATGTGGTTGAAAATAAGAGAGAGAAAAATAAAATATAATGTAATTTAATTTAATTTAATGGGGATCAAACAGGGGCTAAATATCCAACCATCCGGTGGCAGATCCAGAATTTTCACTTAGGGCGAAAATATGCAGGAGCAGAGCAAACTACATATGCATTATATAAATTCAGAAAAAATTTAAAAATGTTGCCGGATGGGACGCCCCCCTGTCCCTCCACCCCTTCAACCACCAAAATGATTTTTCTTTTTCTTTTGTTTTTTATGTAATTAGACCTAATTAAACAATGATTAGATAAAATCACAAGACATTAAGGATTATCTCTGTCTCTGTCCTTTCTGTAATAATATTGTCTCCCCTGATGTAACTGAGACAAATGACAATTGAATTTAAAATATTTGAGTTTATGTGGACCCAAATTGCATATCTTATTATGAAGAATATTATTTACAGACATTCGCTTTCGCAAATGTTCTATGTCATATATGTATCAATTAGTAATTTAATAAATTAATGTAATAGTTTTTTATTGCATCATGCATAGAAAGACAACAGTAATGAACGATTGCAAATGATATTATTATTTTATCATTCATGAAGCATGAATTAACCATTTGAAATTTTTTATTATTCTTTTAAACACTCAATCTTAAAAATATTTCAAAGTTAACAATTTCATAATTTTATCATTAAAATCACCCATGACTTAGCCCTTGTTTGATTCACATTCTTAACAAAATTCATTTTCAACAAGACATTCTTGATTAAAATAATATTATACGAAAATTCAATATTTTTCTTTAATTTTTTACCCCACTTTCTCTATCAATCCATTATTCAAAATACATTATTTCCTCCAAAACAAGGATCAAACAAGGGCTTAAACGTATAGCTCTTCAAATTAAAACAAAAACCCCACATAAGAACTTGGATGTCTGACACAAAGACAGATTTATTGAAAAGGAAGGTGTCAAAAATTAAACAACGTTCAATCACAAACTTTAAAATTAGTCACGCTTTCCAGTGCAGGTCGGATTCATTTTTCGATGAAAAGCTATGTAACTGTGTAGCCTATCAAGACACTACTACACAAGTAACCAAGTCTACTCTGTTCAACAAAGCAAAATTCAAGAGCCCTTCATATTAAGTAAACCAAAATTTCATTTTACAGTTCAAAAGATCAAAATAAAGTCTTTGCTAATGAAAATATGGTTCAAGAACTCACCCTCAATGCAGAATCAGCAACAGAAATCCAAACTTCTCCTAATAATCTCCAAACCCCACTTCAATAATCCAAAGAAATGGCCATAAAAATCACAACTTTACAGTAAAACCCACTTCAAAATTTCCAGAAATAGCCCATCGAAAGCTGTCTCTCTGTTATTGAAGATACCTTGGCAGAGAGAGGCACCTCAATCTTCGGTCGTTTTTGCGTCAAACCCATGAGGCTGCTTTGATCAAGGAAGACGGGTCTCCTTTTATTCTCCATCATCATTTACTCTATTGTTTCGTGTCAATAAGCCCTTTAAAATAAAACTCTTTAATTCTCATACTTATTTTCAACCACACATTCATACAATAAAACATTTTGCACGTAAACCCAAAACTTTCTTCTTAATTTTTAACCACATTCTCCAAATTTTTAAAACATTACTTCTTCGAAATAATGACCATCAAACAGGGGCTAAATAATGGACAAATTAGTACAGAATCCAATAGACGAAAAACCTCATATAAAGGCAATCCATTTATTTGCACGCAATATTGATTTTTTACTTGGGTTCATAATTGAAGTAGCATGACCAATATTTTCATTGCCAAAATATGTCCGTTTATATTCGACAAAAATGGTTAAGCAAGAATTAAACTGTGAATAAATGTACTATCAGCTGATTATAGAGCACGTTTCACTCAGCTAAAAAGAAATGACTTAATTATATAAGTGCTATTGTGTTCCAAGAAACAGACTTCCATTAGAGGACAGAAGCTACCAGATGCCATTCACGAGACGCTCAAAAGCTATATGAATTAGTTGACAAATAGACATATTGAAATGATGAGGTAGAACTCCAATACAATACAATTTTGATCAAGCAACAATTTCCGGTGTATTTTACGACAAATTGCAATATAAAATAACTTCATAAACATATAAAAATACAAACTCAAATAAGATATCATTTTCAACAAGTTTCATGAATTAAAATTCGCGCTGTTTTGGTCAAAATAATCCTCATGTCCATGACATCAGATAATTTATCGTTCAATCAGTCATAATTATTTTAAAAGTAATTGGTCGTAGATAATATTATTCAAGAAACTCAATACCGAACCATCAATAATGGAATCTATACCAAATTTTTGATTGGAAACATACATAAATGGACATTAAATATCCAACCATCCGGTGGCAGATCCAGAATTTTCACTTGGAGGGTGAAAATATGCAGGAGCAGAGCAAACTACATATGTATTATATAAATTTAGAAAAAATTTAAAAATGTTGCCAGATGGGACGCTCCCTGTCCCTCCACCCCTTCAACCACCAAAATGATTTTTCTTTTTCTTTTGTTTTTTTTGTAATTAGACCTAATTAAACAATGATTAGATAAAATCACAAGACATTAAGGATTATCTCTGCCTCTGTCCTTTCTATAATAATATTGTCTCCCCTGATGTAACTGAGACAAATGACAATTGAATTTAAAATATTTGAGTTTATGTGGACCCAAATTGCATATCTTATTACAAAGAATATTATTTGCAGTCATTTACTACCGCAATTGTACTACGTCATACATGTAACAATTAGTAATTTGATAAATTAATGAAATAATTTTTTACTGCATCATGCATCAAATTATTAATTGTCACATAAAAATGACTATTATTTTATCATTCATGAAGCATGAATTAACCATTTGAAATTTTTTACTATTCTTTTAAATACTCAATCTTAAAAATATTTCAAAGCTAACAATTTCATAATTTTATCATTAAAACCACCCATGAATTAGCCCTTGTTTGATTCGCATTCTTATAAAAATTCATTTTTTCAAAATTCATTTTCAAACACACATCCTTCATTAAAATAATATTACCCGCAAATCCAATATTTTTCTTTAATTTTTAACCAAGCATTCTCTATCAATCTATTATTCACAAAATACATTATTTCCTCCAAAATGAAATGAGGGTCAAACAAGGGCTAAAACGTATAGCTCTTCAAATTAAAACAAAAACCCCACATAAGAACTTGGATGTTTGACGCAAAGACGGATTTATTGAAAAGGAAGGTGTCAAAATTAAACAAGGTTCAATCACAAACTTTAAAATTAGTCACACTTTCCAGTGCAGGTCGGATTCATTTTTCAATGAAAAGCTATGTAACTGTGTAGCCCATCAAGACACTACTACACAAGTAACCAAGTCTACATTGCAAGTCTACTCTGTTCAACAAAGCAAAATTCAAGAGCCCTTCAAATAAGGTAAACCAAAATTTCATTTTACAGTTGAAAAGATCAAAACAAAGTCTTTGCTGATGAAAATATGGTTCAAGAACTCACCCTCAATGCAGAATCAGCAACAGAAATCCAAACTTCTCTTAATAATCTCCAAAACCCACTTCAATAATCCAAAGAAATGGCAATAAAAATCACAACTTTAAAGTAAAACCCACTTCAAAATTTCCAGAAATAGCCCATCGAAAGCTATCTTTCTGTTTGCGTATGCCTTTGTAAAAATTCAATGTCGCTGCTGCTGCTCATGGTTCAAAGTGCATAGGGATTAGGTCTGATAGTACCATAACAAAAGTTATCAGAAAAGAAATAGTAAATCATTACTTTTCTATTCACACGCAAATGAGTTGATCAACGGTTAGCTGGTTCCGGCCAAAGTTCGACGTAAACAACACTAAAAGGAACCGAAAACCCTGGCTGAAGATGTGTGAATGGAGTGAGAGGGTTTTTGAAAGTGTCATGTACGTATATAAAATGGTAAGCTATGAAAAGAGACTAAAAATAAAAATAAAAAATGTATTAATTGACAGCTAATATACAACTATGCTATGGAAGGAGGAAAGAAGGGGATGAGTCAAATCAACTAAGGACACTTTAACTTTTGACTACGGGCGATGGCTGAAAATGACGGCTGATAGTGAAGAATATGGCTATCTGCATTCTTCTAAGTCGCTTGGCTTGGCTTGGCTTCTGCTAACTTATTTTTCATATTTGTTCTTTCAAAAGGCGCAAAAGAATTGTGATGGCCTCCAACCTCATCTTATAATAATGGATTTTGCTACTTGTGCATAAGAAATATATATAATGAATTACATAGTGCCCTTATTTGTTTTTCATTCTTTCTTCATTAAAATAAAAAATATGATCGTTATGTTGGAGGAATTTTGTGAATAGTGATGCCAAAATAAGTATAATGATGGTTTGTAAATCCGTGCCAAAAATTGGATAGAGTAACGGCAAAGAAAACACAAACAAGAAGAAGAAGAAAGTAGGGACAAAGCCGAGGCAAGAGTTGGACTCTTTGTCCTTAAGTCGAATTTGCCCCGCAACGGTGCCTACGGATTTCGGCAATCGACTCCCAAGATACAACGGCTACACTTGTGTTTGTGGCACTCCAGAACACAAGTACAACGAACCAAATTTAGGCTTATGTACTCCAAGGATGAAATGAAGGAAAATCAAAATAAATGAAATGATTTTGATTTTGGATAGAAGAGACGATGAGAGATGTTTTGCATATTAAATTGTGAGGAATAGGACACCCAAAGGGTCCTATTTATAGACCATGAAAGGGTGTGGACGAAATGGTTGAGGCCAAATCATGCACCCTTTCCAAACAATGCACCTTTATGAAAAGGTGTCTATTCACCGGACAACTGTGCGACCGTACGGTTATAGACCGTGCGGTCGCACGGTTTTACTCAAAAAATCGGAATTGAATTTGACGTGTGATCGCGCGGTTTACCAACCATGCGGTCGCACGGTTAAATATTTTGACCTGATTTTCGTCTTTTTTCGTAATTTCTCATTCATCCGATACTGGTTTTCGAAATGCCAAATATACCCTTCAATACATGCAGAGAAATCAAAATTCTCTTTCAGGGGCGTTGCCCCCGAGCCCCCACGACCCCCGCGACCTGACCGGACAGGTCGATCCCCGTTTGTGCGCCCCGAAGCAGCGAAGTGGCAAACAATTTTGCCTAAACGGATTGAGTCGAGCTTTTGGCCGAAGTTGATACGAAGTCACTTTAATCGATTTTCAATTCTCGATTTATTTAACCAATATCCAACAAGTTATTCATCACATCAAATCATCATATTTGAATTTTTATCTTTTGTGTGGACCAGTAACGACTATATTTTTCATTCTCATTTTTACATAAGGCTCGGTTTGTTTTTCATTCTTTGGCCATAAAAATGAAAAATATGACCGTTATTCATCACATCAAACTACCATATTTGACTTACTCTGTCTTGTGTGGATCTCTAACGACTATATTTTTCATTCTCATTCTTATAAGAATGTGAATCAAATGGGGGCTAAATGGGAAACAAACAGGACTAATATGATGTGGAGGAAAAATATTAAATAAGAAATTGATTATATATTAAATTGACAAATGATAGAATGTGATGTGACATTATGAAAATTTTGATGCATATGTAACAAGTTCCTAAAATAATAATGGTAGATTAAAGAGGCATTACACGACTTTTGGTATCTATTACTGTACTTTTTGCGTTGTGTTAGTTTGTTTCCTTTTTTTTTCATTTTTTGATAACGGGAGAACCCACAGTCGTCTACCTTTCGGTGTGCATTGGGTAAATTCTTGAATTAACGCAACAGTCTACAAATCACGTCAGTCAGATAAACTGTACTAAGTAAGTCTGGTGCAACAAGCTCAACGAAAAAGTGTTGGTAGGAAAAATCGAACTCGTAATCAAAGGCCTCCGCTCACCTACTCCACCAACTCAACCACCCCATGAGAGGCAGTTTGTTTCATTTCTTTCGTCTTCTTCTATTTGATCATTAACAAATTAATTCATATGCCAAGCAATTCATGGTGAAATATGATAAACAACATTAAAAGTACAATGACTACTGAGAAACAACTTTGAAAATAAAATGATTATGTAAAAATATAATAATGTAACATCGGTGGTTGATAAATTGATACTGTTGAAAGTACAATGAGCATTAATTTTTTATTTTTATTTTTTGTTATCCAAATTGAAGGATGACGTCAAAGCCGAATTGCCTCTATTCAACAGAAATGATCATTTGGGTACTCTTCGTTTTATGGACCAATTTGCATTATCGATATCACAATGATTCATTGGGTTTTTTATTTTATTGTTGCATTCGCTCCAAAAGTTTAGGGAATGTAATGCGTCAAATTGATTTATGTATTTTTTTTATAGTTCATCCGATCATTTCGAACTTGCTACATCAGTAAATTGGATAATGTCACCAAGAGCCCTTTTCAAGATTCGTCATCTTACCAATTATATTTTACTTTTTCATTATGTCTTTGTGAAAATGAATGAATTGAAAGCCTTTACATCAATACAAAATCATTAACCTTCTAGCTCTAGCCAAAAAAAAAAAATGTAATTAGTACATAACGGCCTTATCTTTTACTATTATTGTATAAAACGTCATTACCTTTCATTTTTTTAAAAAATCGAGACTATAGTTGCAATTGATTCTTTATATTTCTTTTTTTTAATTTAAATAGGACAGTATATTCGTCATTTCAAAACTTTTATTGAAAAGTTGAATGAAAATGGATGGAAAATGATGATTTATGCAATCAAATGTGTAATTAATGGTGAAAATGCCAAAAAAATGAAATGTATGAACATTTTTCACAATAATAATAAAGGATATGGACATTATGTGCTAATTACATTTTTACTAATTTATTTAGAAGTCTTTTGTACTTTTAAAAAAAATTTGGAACTATGATTGTAATTAGTTCTTTTTTTATATATTTAAATATCAGGGTATATTCAACATTTCACAGTTTTAATTAAAAAAATTGATGAAAATGATATTTTGCACAGTGAAATGTGGAAATACGGTTGAAAAAGTTCAAAAAATGAAATGTAAGATATTTTTCACAATCACAGTAAAAAGTAAAAACATTAGGTACTAAATAGTAAATACTCAAAAAAGAAAATTATAATACTTCATTG